GGAATGTGGAACCCATTAGCAGCTTTGGGGCAGTGCGAGGCAGGATTTGCTGGGATGATTCTTTCCTGTTTGGTGGAGGAAAAGGGTTTGTGTGGGGGGGATATTTGGTTGGTTTTTACAATATTATACTTGGCTTTAAAAAAAACCCAAAACTAGAACTTCAGAGCTGCAGAACACAGAACAGCAGGAGAGGACAGTACATGCAGAGTTACGAAATCATTGTGTAGCTGGAGACTTCAACAACAGTTTTCTAGTCCTCCTGATTTTAGGATGATGATGTGAGCTCTCCTACCTGTCATGCTTTTCTTCAGGGAGTTTTGTGCAGCATCAGATACATCTAGCAACTCTTCCTGGGGTGGAGAATGGAAAACAGGAACCTGATTCCCTTGGAAGACTTTGCTTTTGTTCTCCTTAGTCTTCTCATAAAGTTTTGCTGCTTGGGGACAGTATAACTTCTTTTTTGTAATACCATGAATGCATAAACATAATGCAAACATCACAAACAGGGTGTTGAGACAGTGAAAACTGACAGGAAGGGATAGAAGCTGCTTAAACAGATGAGCCATTTATTATAAACTGTTGTGTATCTTCTAAACTGCAACAGAGCATCCCTTGGCACATGGCAAGGGAATTGGTTAAAATTAGAAAGGGCTAATTTTGTTCTGGGAAGAAAAATATACAAATATCTTTTAGCGAAATCCACCCAAATGTGACATTTCTTCAGATATTATTAGTAATTTGGGAGGGAGCTTACTTGTGTCATCCTCACACGTGGAAGTATTGGCACCTGCCAGTTTAAGAAATCTGTTTAGTTATTTTTTAAGAAAACATTTTAAATTGAAGTAAAAAATCCTAAATAAACCCTTTCTTTGAAAGTCTAAGGTAGCTACAATAATACAAGAAACAGCCATAAAACTGTATGTATATAATAACTGTAGTTCAGAAAGACTGACACAAGTTTTTGAGGTCTGATTGCCAAAAACTAGGGATGGCTTTAACCTGCTAATTTGAAAAAGCTGTTACTCAAACATGGAAACTCTTCTGATGACCTTCTAGTTCTCCTTCTGTTTGTCCTTCCTTCGCAGCCCCTTGATGTACCTGGGACCAAAGCAGAAAGGCTGAGATGCTGTGAGGAATTAGAAACCAGACACAGCAGACCCTTCAGTGACAATCCACTGAACTTTGGGATGCTCATTTGAACTGAAATGTTAAACTTTAATAATCTTGGCTTTGAATTTCAGTAGAAGGGGCTTCCCCTTATATTTTCAGAGCTGATGGTGAAATATTCTCCTGGCAGTTATTTGGTATTCAAGCACTGATGTAAATTCTAAAGATTTAGAAAAAAAAAATCTAGGGAATGTCACACTTGCATGTACCTGTCAGTACAAGTTGGGAAGGAGGAAGGAAGGAAGGAAGGACCACTTCGTCACCAAGCTGGAGGACAGGGTGTCAGGAGAATTTGGATTTGGGTCCTTGCCTGCCCAACTCCAAACAATATTCTTTCCCTCTCTTTGTCTCAGTTTCCATGTTTACAAAAAGGTGATAACAGCAGTTCTCCTGTGAAAGAAGTGTGTTAATTCACTGAGAAGTAGAGTTTATTCCTCTGTTGAAGGAGGCATCAGATAATAAAAAGTTACAGTGTTTTGATATAAAGAAAAGTTTGGGTGGGATTTTTTTTTTTTACTTTGTACTGTTCCTTCCCCACCAGCAAAGTCTGTAGGTGAAAGAGGTCATAAAAATTCACGTTTTGAAAGCTCAGTATTTACAAGTCATTAAAGAAAGGACTGATGTAGCATTAACTTAGCATGGCTGGGGTGGCTTGCTCATTTAACAAATACAAGACCTCACCCTGCTTCTGGCTGAACTGAGCCCTGGCTGGCAGAGTATTTGTAGAACATCCCTCTGGAGTGGTTACTGACCAGTAATGGCATTAAAGAAAGGGTTGGTTTGATTAAATGAGGCAAAGTTCTCTCTTCAGTGCTTCCTGCCATGCCAGTACTACAGGGAAGGCAGACTAGCTAATGTAAATAGATATTATCATTAAAATAGATCTTCATTTTTGTTGAAACTTTTAAAAAGTGTTTGAGCAGGAGTAGCAGATCCCCTCAGATTTCTGTAGAGTCGCTTGTTGCATGCTCCAGGATGAAGGGTTTTTGAAAGGGAGGGCTGGTGTTATTTCTGGGCTGGTGGCCCCAGCGTGCCTGGCCCGTGCCAGCTGGGTGGTGGCTGGGGTTCAGCTGAAGCATCGCTTTCCCTCTGCCAGCCTCCTGCCCCTCGTGTCTCTTCCAGCACCCTCGGCCAGGATTCCCAGGGCTGTCTCTTCCTTTCCTGAAGAGCCAAGATCACAGCCCAGTGAGACCAAGTCCTGTATAAACATGTGAAGGGGACGATGGCTTTTCCCACCCGCTCACAAACCAAAGAGACCATGAGCCTGGTTTCATACAGGGAGAGCTGGA